GAAGGACCTCTTTTCCACCATGCGGTTCACACACAGCTGAGCTAACCACTGTTTCTCCAGCTCAAATTAACTTGATTCATCCAATGCATGTTTCGATGGCTATTTGAATGATTGCTTAACGCTCCGCGCATGATTCTTTAAACATGGTCTAAGGTAATTAATTGCGCATCACCTGCAACAGGACGAACGGCGGCGATAGACGCATAAATCATGCGTCCAGCGTTTCAGTCTTGTTTAATCTACCTCATCACGTGTCACAACGCTGAGCCCTCTTCGTTTCACCGGGCGATGCATTGTATTTTTGTGACTCGGGCCGTTCGTTTGGTTTGCTGGTTCACTAGAAGTAATTTTTGTTAGCGCATGTTCGTTTTGCTGTCTTCACTGCTCGAAACCTTCTTTTCCGGTTGACTCTTATTTTTGTCAGTGTATCTGTACGCTAGACATATTCTTTTCTCTACAGCGCGTTATCGATTTCTGTTTGAGGGAAGTTACCGAAAACTTTCGAAAATTAACTTAACTTTTAACTGAGGTCAGATTGGCAGATCCGGAATAGTTTTTCTCTATGTAGATGTCCAACCAGTTTTCTTGGTTGTTTATACGCACACCACGGGACTCGTTATGAATAACGGAAAGATAAGAATGTCGAAATCATGTTTTTCTTTACTGTTTATTTTTCCTTTGTAAATCTTCATTAATCTCACAGCTTGGTATAAATTCCACACGTGCATGCTCTGTGCATAAATTATTGCACTCTGGGTGAAGTCATAAGATTGATTGGCCGACTGGGTTTAAACGCAGTGGTCTCGGTTAGGAGTGCGAACGATGTGACAACGGTTTGCAGATAAACTTTCACAGAAAGTATAATGGACGGATAGTGGATGTAGCTGATTTCGTTGGTTACCTAATTTCAGCTGCTCTCTTGGCCACGTGAAATGATCCGTCTCGAATGTTTTGCCCAACATTGCTTAACAGCTAACCAAAATTCCTTCGTCTGCGGAAAGTTGCTGGCTCCACTGCAGTTGCAGAGCAACTAATTTTCAACGCTGTTTTTTGCGTGTTTCTGGTGGCCGATGTATACATAATAGATACAATAATGTACCGTTATCAAACGGATAGATACATATCCTTTGGTGTCGAAACACGCTTTTGTTCGACCCAGTAAAGTGGCGGTGTTTCGCACTTCAGTGCAGTGCAACTGCTGTGGAGCGGTGGGCTACCTAAACGGTCTCTTAGAGCACTAGAAGTAAGCCAACGTCGTGTATATCCGAACAAGTGACGGGAGATTGCTACTCTGATTAATCTCTATGATTCGTTGAATGTTATGATACCGTAACTCTGATACATCATAAAATTCTTCTGCTGGATGAAAGCAAAGTAATTTGCATTAACCCGTAATTATGCGAAGGTGACGTCATGATTGATTATATATGGGGGAGAGTAGGGCGTGAGCAGATGAGTTGAAGTGACGTAGGTATCAGAAGGTGAAGGCAGTTTTTTACTTTGTATCATGACGAAACGTTTCTAGGCTTTTTCAACTAGTTCTGCTAAGTGCTATTCAGCCTGTGATTCATGCTTACTTATTTTTCTTCTTCGCATTCTTTGATCACCGCTTTCCCTGTTACATTTCTGATCGGGAGTGTACGAGCAAGATTAAGTCATGCTGCTGTGAGCGTTGGTAAGGTAACATATCTCCCGATGCTGAGGCACTTCTTTTTTCGCAATCGTCATGCGTCGAGCCGAGGCCTTAAACGTCGTCGTCAGTGTTGGTTGTCATATGTGCATGCCTAGCCTAGTGGCAATGTCTGACTGCTCGGCGCGTCAGACTTTTTTGTCGTTCGTGTGCTTTTATTTTTTTAGACGCCTGTATTGTAAAGAGATGTTTTGCGTAACGATTACAGGCATCTAAATGTGTACATAGCGATCGACCTCGATTCGTTGTCCGTCAGTATAAGTCAGTTTAGCCTTCGTGCGATGATCTTGTTTATGCAGACAAGTGTAGACTCGGTTATGGCAAAGCATGACTTTGTTGATTTTCGATACTGTCAATAGTAACGTAACTTTTTCAGCATTTACGTTCTCTAATAAAACGCCTGCCAGAGAATTTTCTCTGTTGCAAGCTTTTCATGTCGCGACCACAATCGAAGATTAAGTAACAACTTGTGGTTTTTCTGTTCTTGAAATCCATACGGTAGCATGTAAACATGTCTGGTTGCTGAAACATAGTCCCTGATGAGCGCAAGATGGCTCCAGCGGAAGAAGCGACGTGACGTGCGTCTGGCACTGCGGATGGCCAAGTAACATGCAGTTGGGCCAACTTGGCTACTGCCGCCGCCCCCTCCCCTCTTCCGCCACTCCCTTACCCCCGGACAATTAATTACCAGGGAGATTCGATGCATCGTGAAGTTATGCGTTCCTGAAACGTGAAAGTTTTATGCTTGAGAAAGTTTTGTAAATAACAGAGGAACTAAAACGAAAGTTTGCCTGGTGAAATTTACTAGGGGCATAGGCACAGGCAGATGACTGACTAAGCTGCCATGGCCTGTCAGTTGCTACAACGAAGAAAAGAGACTGCTTTTGTTTTTCGTTCAAAACTTTGCTGAAGTTTCGCAGTCATCAGCACGAGCTGACTTCTAAACTGTCATGTGAAGTGTCTTTAACTAATGGTTCCACGTATGCCCCGGTACATTAACGAAACATCGACGACGACTTCGGTGTGGAACGTTTTACTTCTCATTGAGCTTTGGAATTTTACGCTCTACATACTCTATTGGCGGTTTGTTGTATTCACCACATTACAGTACTATGGTTGCAGTTTGTGTCATTTTTCATCCGACCTCTGTAATGGTTATGTCTGTGCACCCTTTTGTATCGTTCAACGTCTCTTCTTGTCGGCTCAATTGTTTTTTGCCCACTGACACGCAGTTACGAGTGAGTGTAACTTCACGATTGGCGGCGACCAATGCATGCATACGTTCAACGGCATTTTACCATGCCTCTTGTGAGGTGTTGACGCGGTTATCTAAAAGACCTGCTTTGAACTCCGGAGGTGTCGGATTCATTTCGGCTGGACGGTAATCTGCTTTGGACCGTGGTTGTTTAGCCGGTTGAGCATCGAACTCAGAATCGACGAGTTCCCAGTTCCAGTGCCTACCGGGGTCACTCGCTTTTTTTTCTGCCGTGGTTGATAATTGTGTACCCCTCTGTGTGGAAAGGCACAGAAGAATACGCGCTGTGCTTACCACGTGGCTCTAGATTCTGCCTTTAAAAAAATGAAGCACTTTTTTGCTGGTGGCATAAAGATCGGCGCCGTACAATCAGGTTCAAGAGAAAGACATACCGACATTTCAACAGTGGCCAATTTTACTTTTCTTTCCTTCCTTTCGTACAAAAGAACTGAAGCGATCGCGTAATAAAAACTTCAACGGCAATATAAAAGACTCACAAATCAGACAACTTAGTTAACGATTTCTCTAATGCTCACTCCATGAACAAAATCGGCTGTGAGATCTGTACTGATCAGTCTGATCTAATAACCGTCCCCTTCTCTGATCAATTGCTAAACAGTATAAATGTATCTGAAGTATTTTCGGCCTGCATCTTTTTCCGACCAGATTTTCTTTCAGATATTATGAATGACGTAGTCTGTTTTAGGACGCGTGGTTGCAGTCTTTACAATTACAGTAAAGATTACAGTCGATTGTATTTCGCCCTCATTGCCTGACATCCTGTAGACTGGTAGTGGCGCCGTGGCGTACTTACATATTCGTCCCAGGCGTCTAAAGGCAACTGGCCCGGTTACCATATGTAACTCGGTGTAGTATGACTTGTTTGCCTTACACTGCAGCGGTATCGGCGTAAATCAGCTTCAGCTTTTTGCTCTATACGTTACCTTATGGTATTCTGCCCGTGCAAGTGACTCACGTATTTACTTGGTTCGTGGTGATGAGTGAACATGAGTTATGCTCTCTAGGCAAAAATGTCCCTGCACTGATCGAATGGAAGTCGTTCAGCTTCAGCTATACTTTTCAGGATCTAGGCAGAGTATCTTTCTCGTAGACAGCGATAAAGGGTCTCTTAGTTTCCAAGTCACTATACTTCATTTGCCAGGTGTTTAAGGTTTCATCAGGAGTTATTTTGGCTGAGAAAAATACCTTGAAACGTATTTAATATTTCACCCTCATTACGATCTCTTCCTCTGGCCGTTGCCCGTTATATACGTTGGACGTTTACACGACGTTCGTAGGCAAAGCGCTGTACAACTTTTCCGTAACTGGCTCCGAGTCGCTCTACAGTTACAACTTAACTAGCAACGACGGTTAGTTTGGGCGTGAATCTGTCAGGAACATTTCTTGACTGCACGAAAGACGTTAAAAACATTTATTTTATATTTCAACCATCAGTTGGACATCCAGATTAGTTTAGCTGGTGAATTTTGATTTCGGTTGTCAGTATTGTCAGCTGTCAGTCACTTTGGGTAGTAAACATATTGCCGCTATTTTCAGCGTTCATCGAACAGAGACTATCCATGTTTTGTAAGCTACGAAATGGCCTCACTGTAATACCAACCAGTGTCATTCAGTGATGCAGTCTTGCAAGCAAGGCACTGCAAATGCTTAAGCACCCTCGAACCCAAGCCTTTTTAAATGGTCCCCGTAGGCGAGTGAAAGCGGGGGACGGTACGTGTGCGCTGAGTAAATCAAGTATTGGAGAATGAAACGGAGGCACCGTGTCCCGGATGTTCGCGGGAATTCCGACTGCTGCAACTTTGCATAGTAAAATCTTGACGGTTGATAAGAAGAGGACAGTTTTTCTTTTGCTTGACTTTCAACCCATGCCGCCTGCGGTACCGGATACACTAGGGTAAAACACCAAGTCCAAGCACCGTTACAAAGCTAATAAATGCGACACGATTTGATTTCGTCGTTTCCCGTCGACAGTTGACTCTTGTACGCACGGATTGCGGGTGGTGGTGCTCGGTTCTCCGCTAGAAGGTTTGCCAAATGGTTGGAATGCAGACTTTGCCGGAAGTAAGAAGGCGCGAAGCGTGCGCTGAGGAAGCATGAAGTTGGGTGAAGGATTTTCAAGCTGTTAACGATAAATCAGAGGAGACGAGTTTTTCACTCGTGATTCATTTCGCCGAATTGGACCTGAACGTCTTTGCAGAAAATCTATGCCGCCTTCTGGCGGGGTGGCAGCCAGTCGGTCGGTTCCTGCCTGACTCAGACTCGCTCGACTTCAGACTCTGTTTCGGCGTCGACTTTGACCGACTATTTCGGCATCAGACGTTGCCTGGACGAGTCGTGGTTTGTAGGCTTTTCAGACATCCGTACTCTTTGCATTTAAATACTTTATGACAGGTTTGGTCGCCGGTAAAGGCGGGCCTTGATTTAAGCTGGTTAGCGACTGTCGAGATTTCTAGTTTTCTGTTTCACGCATTTCGCGTTGTTGTGGCCCTTAACGCAGAAACTGATTCACCAAAAGTACAGCTTTAACTTCGCTGTGACGAACAGAATTTTCCCTGTTTTTTTGCATACCATTGACTCGTTGTCTGTTTATCAACACCAGCAAGGTATTGAATGACGTCTCCTCCTCCCCCGCTCCAGTTGACAGACATGTACTTGTTGTGCGTACCGATTATGTCATTAATTCTTTCTCAGCTTAAGCATTCAGAAACCGTTTCATCTGAAGATCACTTTTCCCGCTGAAAGATCGTCGCTTTTACCCATGTTGCTTGTTTTTTTCTGCTCAGACGATATTCCGTCATGTGCACGGAAATGACTTGTGGCAGCGTTAGATCGAAATAACTTCCGGGTTATGTCCTGAACATCAGTTACCGTGTTTTTCGACTTTGTTGAGTCGACACTCAAAAATAAGTTGTTGCAAGGTCTCATCTTTCCTGAACGGAGTGACCTCATGAAAAACAAACTTCTGGCAACGGCTGCTTCGCGTGAAAAGAAGAACGAGGTGTGAAATTGTATTACGTTCTGTTTTCGGTTCAATTTAAGAACCGCATCAGTGGACCTCGTTGGTTATATCGGTTTCCGACACCATTCCCAGCCCCTGTTCAATCCGTGGAGCCGTACTTCTTCTCTGGACTAGTTCTTTGCTTCTGAACCTTGAGTCAGTCAGGTGATGATTTATTTGACAAAGTCAGTTCTTTTGCTGCGAATTTCTGCAACTCACTCTTAGCAGGATATAAAATTTACATTCAATATTCATAATATTCTCTTCCACTTTCGGCTAGGTCGTTTGACTGACCTTCAATAGCGTCTATGACTTAACTTATTCGTCATTAAAATGTCATGATGCAGTGATCCATTGGTATTTTGTTGATCGTACTAATAATGCGTATTTTTATTGTTAATCGTTGGTAAATGATTTATAATAATTTCTAATAGAAGGTTTCACCCATTGTTTCGATCTGTGTTTGTTTTTCTGACTTCATAACGCTTGGTTTAATTTCTCCTAAATGTTGTTTGTTATATTAAGGATTGTCGCGGTGGTGACAAAAAGGCTAAGCCCCAGCGCGTTGCTCAAACAGAGAAAGGATCTCCTACAAAAGAAACATCTCCCGGTATGACTTACGGTGCTCTCTTACTTTTCAGTGCGACACTAATCAAATCGCTTATCTCTGTTCGCTGACTTTACGGTTATCATCTTTAATTTGATTGCTTTTTTTGTGTTTTAATTAATGGCGCTGAGCGTATGATGCACTTTTTTAGGTTTTTTGTCGAAGTCGTACTAGGTTTAACTTATGTTTGTTTTCTAAGTATTGAACTTATTAGGCTGTAGGTCTTTGAGTCGTTATTCTGTTTCAGATTGATAATATCTTTTGTATCGATATAGATCAGACGCGTGGCTCTTTTTCCGTTATTGACAGGTTGCCCAGGCATCTTCTTACGGACATGGATGATTTGTACTGACAATTAATAAAAACGAAGAGAATTATGCGATGATCAAACAAACGTGCCGAACGGTGCAAAGCGTAGATTCGGGCCGTGTTTCTTTCGGTGGTCTGCTCATGGGACTCATCTGGTTTCACTTGCTTTCTGTCATGTTGTGGCACCACTCGTCTGAAATCTTCTCCAGCACCCTGTCTTGGATGCATCATCATCATTAACCTTTTTCGATTCACTGCTCGATGAAGGGCTGTTTTAGATGGTGTCATAAGCCGATGTTTATTTTTTCTTATCCATGTTTATCCAACGAACTTCATCTCGTCTAGGCATCGAACAGGAGGTCTTCTAACGGGCCGTTTGTTTCATTTTAGATGGTCGGTTCATCTTGCAACATTCCCTGTTCACTGTGTTTCGGCTTCTTCACTCTTGTTTCATCTGTTACCTGATTGTGCGTTTTTTTATTTCTTGTAATTGCCAACACTCACCTGTCCATGCTGAGTTGCATAGATTGCAATTTACCAAATGCTTTCCGGCTTGCGGTCGACGTCTCGCACTCATGGGTTAGCACTAGGGGGCATACACTGCTTGAAAATCTTTCGATTCAACCATAAGGGCAGTTTGCACTGAATGTCTTCTGTGATGTTGCATCGTACTGTCGGATGCCTTTTCGATTTTAAGCTTGCGTGTTTTCGTGGAGTTTCACACTAGCAGTTGCATTCTTGTAAGTCATGGCGATGAACTCTCGCTCTCCTAGATTTCCTGACTTTTCAAGGAATACGATACACAACGGATGTGGACTGAGTCGAAAAAAAATCGTTTTCGAAATCGACGAACTTGAAACAGAGAGGATGCTTGCATTCATTGCTTGTCTGAATACTTGTTGTGCTTTCTGAAGATGATCGATCGTACTGAGCTTACTTCTGAATTCTCCTAGCTCCTTTGTTGGTGCAGCATCCAGTTTTTCTCGAAGTCTGTTTGTCTGTACTTCTGCGCAAACTAATCGTTCTGTTGTTCTTCAGATGCGCGTTGTTTCCCTTTTCATCAAATAGAACCACCGGTGCGGTAGTCAAGTCGTTTTGAATTTTCAGTTCCTTGAAAACAAGCGAGCTAATATTTTGGTCAGTATTTCACTTCCTGATTACACGGGTTCCGCGGTAACGCCGTCTACGCCAGGGTCCTCTACTGGCATCGTGCTTCCACCGGCGACTTAGATGTAGTACGATCGTTGTGAACTAAATATGTTGTTTTCCTCTCTCGCAATTTTCGATTCTCCAAATGCCAAATGCTACATGCGCGTGAAAGTTTATGTAGGTGGTCACTGTTTACCTATGGTAATATTCAAATATAGCTTTCGGTCGTATGCTTATAGTCGTACCAGTTCCCTGCCACTCGATCTCGCAATGCATTTGCTTCATTCGACCGTTGCGTTCTTTCATTAGCTAGTAATTTTACCTAGAGAGAGATTGTATCGCAGACCGAGTCCAGTTTTTCGATTTTCCTAACTGCGATTTCTTCTGCCTCTGTGACTTGTCTCGTTGCTTCAGGTGCTCGGCGAATATTAATATGACTTGATCGCACTATGTGCTAATGCTGACGATTCTCGTGTGAAACCGTCATATGCTATGCTTGGTTTCATTTTTAGACCGATCGCCAAACCACTGTCAAGCGAATGCGAATGCGTTTGAGAAACGGTGCGTCGATGACATGGTCCTCAGACGAGCCTAGTGCTTAAAACTGCGATTTTCAGGGAATCCATGTACTCAATATTAGATCAAGATCTTCAGTTGAGCGAAGACTCGGAATCGGAACATGAGGAACAGGAACCGACGTCGACCGTGGTTCCGACTACCGATCAAGCTAAGGTAACTTGTGTTTTTTTTTACTTCAAATACATGCTGAACTATTTTTATTTGCATTTGTAGGATTCGCCGAAGCTGCGCCGGTCAGAATTGAAGAAAAGTCGGAAGAACTCGACCAGGTGCTTAAATCGAGTGCCTTTCGGCTGATTTTACGCATTTACTTTAAGACGTAGCACCTCGGTGGTAAACGACAGTGAAAGCACCAATGAGACTGCCAAAGAAGAGAAACGAACAGCAAACGATTCACAGGTATGACGTTTCATATTTTTGTTATTTTATGCTAACAGGAACGCTGCGTAATCATCCTGTGTTTGACAGCGTAATTGTTTACTGTTTCACGTAGAACTTTCTTTTTGGCTGTTGCATCGAGCATCCGACTCGATCGTTCAGTCTAGACTCTTCTCTGAGTAACACTGTAATATATCAGTGTTATGTTCGGAAAATTTGCAGTGGTTCAATAGTCGAAATCATCGTGTAAACCGCGGTCTGTTCTGTAACTTGGACGGTGTTTACCGTTCAAGCGCAGAAAAATGGCATCATAACGTTTTTAATTTTTGAAACTGATCTTAATGTGTCATTAATGTTTTGTTTCGCGTAAATTTTTCGTTCATGTGATTGGTAGGTATGCTTGTTCAGATTGTAGAGTCAGTTAACGTCGTTTGATGGCGTTCAGAATTCTACGTAATGCGCAGAAATTTCGACCAGAAAATATCCAAATGGTTGAACTCGAAGCTTGCAGTTGCAGTCGTCGAACCTCACGTACTTTCATTCTGAGGCTTCAAACCGTTTGAATTC